TTAGTCTATATATTTAATGTTACTATTAATATGATTAGATTTACGTTTACCATTTTGCTGTTTCCTTTATATTTGTATTATCTGTCCTTTACTCTTTTCTTTCCTGCTTTGTTTGGATAAAATTAATATTTATATTAACTTCACCTCTTTGGTTCTGTTTTCTATGGGGGGATTACAATATACACTTTTAACTTATCACAGTCTGCTGTCAAATAATATCAATTCTTTGTGCAGAGTCAAATTTCTGCCTGGTATTGTTGTATTTCTTTTTTTTTTTTGAGTTGGAGTCTCACTCTGTCACCCAGACTGGAGTGCAGTGGCTGCTCCCTACTGCAGCCTCGACCTGCTGGGTGCCGGTGATCCTTCCTCCTCAGCCTTCCAAGTAGCTGGAACTATAGACACGTGCTACCACGCCTGGCTAATTTTTTGATTTATTGTAGAGATGAGGGCTCACCAAGTTGCCCAGGCGGGTCTCGAACCCGTGGGCTCAGGCAATCCACTCACCTCAGCCTCCCAAGGCACGGGATTACAGGTTGAGCCAACAAGCTCGGCTTGTATTTCTGCCTGTAGAGCTTTTAACACTGTTGGTAATGGTGGTCTGCTGGCAGTGAATTATTGCAGCATTTGCTCATTTTAAAATGTCTTTTTTTGCTTTGATGTATAAAAAATGTTTCCTTTAGCGTTGAATTCTAGGTTGATGGGTTTAGTCTTTAATGTCTTTGGAGATTAAAATCCTGTCTTCTGGATTGCATCGTTTCTGCTGAGAAGTTTGCCATCATTCTTATCTTTGTTCCCTAACAATCTGTTGTTTTTCTCTGGCTGCTTTTGAGATGTTCTCTGTATCAGTGACTTCCAGCATCTGCTATAAAGTGCCTTGTTGTCTTTTTGCTATATTTATTCTGCCTGGTGCTTACTGAGATTCTTGGATGTCTGAGTTTATCGATTTGGAAAAACCCTGGCCATTATTTTGTCAAACACTTTTTCTGTCCTCCCCTCCCATCCCTTCTTCTCTAGTTACGTGTGATCAACCCTTGGCACGGTTCTGTGGTCTCTCCTGCTTCATTTTTCCCCCCTCTGCTTTCTCCCAGTGCTTCATTGGGATCACACATTGTGGCGTTTTCAGGCTCACTGGCATTTTCTCTCGTAGTGTCTAATCTGCTATAATCCCAGGCAGGGTATGACACTTGCGCTGGTTATCAACCTGCCTCTTTCCCCAGCCAACCCAGTGTTTCCTTCCTAGAGTCATTAACAGGCGGCTGATGACACGGAGCCCTTCTGGTAGGGGAGTAGCTCCTTGGTTTGGGACACTCTTGTTCCAGATATGGGCTTGTCTTCCACCATCAGTGTTTTTGCCAGCGCTGCCTGTGGCTCGAGCAGCTGATTCATGGCCACCCGTCTTCTGTCGTGTAAAGGCAGCGTGGCGACAGGAGCTCCTGTGGAATGCCCTGCTCTCACCAAGGTCCCCATAGCCAGGCGCTGGGCCTGACAGAGCCTAGAGATGGCTCCCTGGAGCTTCAGGTGTGCTGCCAGCAGAAAGACAGCACCCTGGGAGCTGGGGCTGCTGTCCTCACATAGTGGGCAGTGCTTTGAACTGTGCATCGATGGATGGTGCTATTTCACACCCAGAATAACACCTGGAATGCCGGTGGCTGGAATCAGGGATGGGTCTTCCTACAACCCACCCAGCAATTAAACAGGGTGGCTTGTGTCACTGTTTAAAGTCCCCCCACCCCTCCCGAGGGGGCCTTCTCTACAGGATTCTGTGTCCCTGCTTGCTGGATTCTGCTGTGGCTATGTGGACTGAACAACCTTAGGGGTAGGAAGAGAAGATGGAGCAGAAAAGGGGGTAGAAAGAGAGTGGAGTGAACACATATGGGGGGGGGAGAGGACTGAACGCCTGATGGGAGGAAGGGGATCGACTGAATACCTGGAGGCAGGAAGGGAGAGAACACCTATGGAGGGAGGAAGACCAGCTGGATGTTCACTCCCTCTTTGTGGAGTGACCACCCAGGGTTTCTATTGAGGGGTACAGCTTGTATGTGGACCTGAGCCACTCATAGCCCTGGGAGTGGGCCAGAGAGTTCCTGGCCCTGAGGCGTCCTTGGCCCCGGGGCATCCTCCGGGTTTGGCTGGGATCAGCGTTGGGGCGGTAGCAGCAGACACAGGCCCAGGGCCTTTGGAGCTGCTCCACCTGCTCTGGCGTCCGGGTCTGGAGCCTCGTGTTCGCTAGGGCGAGGACGCCATGTGGGGTTGTTTCTCCGAGGCCCCATCCTCGCCTGCGTCCAGCACTGAGTGTGGCTATGCGTGTCCTGTGACAAGCCTGTGTGCCCTAAGCACCCCCTCTTGTCATCCGGCACCACCTGTGCACATGTGTGCCCACCCCTCAGCTGCACCCGGCTTGAGGGCCGGCCTTCCTGTCTCTCTGGCCCACTCCCACGGCTCCCAGCAGGGCTTTCCAGACCCTCTCTGAACGTGGGATGCACGGACCTTGTCCGTAACTCATCCTGTATTAACTGATGTCAACATATGGAATCAATCTCATTTATTAAAAATGGCCAATGCAGAAATGCACAAAGTAAAGAGAAATCACTGTTGCTTGAACTGGTGTTGGGTGCAGGGTGTGCACACTCCTTTCCCCCGTGGACAGGGCCGGGCCACACAAGCTCCCGGGGTGGGTCTTCCGGGCATCACGAAGCGTTCTCAGGCCCTGACGCCGGTGGCCGCCCCATGCCATTTTGTGGACGGTGACTTCTCAGCTCTATTTCTAAATCGACGCCTGATCGGATGGGACTCGAGGCAAGACTGCCTTTCTCTCTGCTTGACAACACATGTGATACTGAGCAGTTCTAGAAACCTGGGCCAGAGAGACCTGCCAGGTGGGCCAACAGCCACACAAGCTTGACTTCTGTCAAACACCTGCCCCTCTTTGAGGAACGCTGAAATCCTCCCGGGTTCGACCACACAGCGGTTCTTCTACAGGGTTTCAGGCATCTTCCCAGCATGTAAGCCCGGCACCAGGAACACCTTTTCTGGCACTCTCTCCAGCTGAAGAAAGCTCTGCTGTTGATGCTCTAATAAGAGGCACACACAACAAAATGCACCCCAAAGTGTATGAGACTTCATGTTTTATTTATTCCATTGAAAATCCAACGTTCTTTCCATGCCGACCCTCTGTCCACCCTCAAGTCCCGGCAGGCCCTGTGGGCATGGCTGGTACTCAGCCCATGGGCCGCCTGCTCCACCTGGGGCCTGGCCCTGACCCCCGGTGGCCTCTCTGGTCCTGTCTCACACCCAAGGGGTGTGACTCCAACCTATATACATTCACAGTTCTGAATGGCGCTGGCCCTAAGTTACACATAAGAGAAAAGAGTCAGGAGGAACAAACATCCACTCCAAGTCTGTTTATCAGAGGTTTTTTCCTGAAAATGCACGTGGCATTTCATTCAAAACCCTTCATCTGCAGACCTGCAGGGAGGGAAGGGGCCCCGGGTCCCTCCCCCAGAGCATCTTAGTTTGTGAGCCTCCTTCATGGTCACCGATAGGCTTTTCTCTTTAGAAATGACCGTATACTTCCTACAATCGTACGGCCATCACTGTTAGCTGTCCAGGCTACAAGAGAGTCCTTCTGTGTCCAACGCAGCCAAACGCCCTGAACGCGACCCCGTCAGCCCATCCCTGGCCCGGCTGGCAGTGTACACGTTGGGAACCTGTCGAGGTGATCTACACTGAGCTGAAGGTTTGCTTTTAATGTCTGTCCGTGGAGAAACACCCGACACGAATCTCCACGAATCTTCCCTGCCCTTCCTGGCCCTGGTGGACACTTTCTACAGAGGCGCCCCAAAGACAAGCCAATTCATCCCAGAAATCAAAGCAGAATTGCCAAACACAGCTAGAGGCTTCACCTTAGGAAACAAACTGAAGTCTGCGATGACTATTGTGCTTTAAGGGTGGGTTCTAATCACACCACAGAATCCGTGAAACAAGGTGACGTCACAGAGGTGGACGGTGACACCCAAATGCCCTTCTTGGAGCAGGGGCACCATGCTCCCTCCCACCAGGGGTGTGGGCTGCGCGCTCCACGGGACTCTGACCCCGTGTCAGGAGGCCATGCTGCAGGGAGGGGCTGTCTCTGTGAGGCTGTCACCAGACATCCTCGTCATCCACCACACGCCGCTCTGCACACCGCGTTCTTCCACAAGCACAGGGCAGCGGCTGGGAGGTCAGCCACAGTCGGGGCGCGCTTCCCCGGTCTCCACAGAAACCGGGCCGAGAGGGGGCAGCGCCTGCCAGCGGGACCCACCACACGGGCAGGGGGGCTGCGGGGTCCCGGACTCCCCGCCCATTGGCAGGCACCACCGGAAACAAGCCACAGCCATCTTCACCCAGCTCCTGTGACTGCCATCCTGTGCTGATTGGAGCTGGCCTGCAATGAAGTAGATTATGTCACGTGGAAACAGAAACACCAAACTGGCGACGCTTATAAAAAAGAGGGGCTGGAAAGGGACTAAGAAAAGCAGAAGAGGGGTCCTGGGGCTGGGCCCCTGTGGTCAAGTCACCCGTGGGCCCCAGCGGCAGGAGGGAGAGGCCTGACGGGATGGAGGTCAAAGCCCCGGCAGCCTCAATGCTATCAAAAAAAGGCCTATGAGTAGATTTCCTCTGACCCGAAAGGAAAAGTGAAGTAGAAAACAATTTTCTTTAAAAAAAATGCTGCCTGTGCCCGGCAGTGCCCAGATGAGGTTATAAAACACCCACGGTCCGGCTCAAAGAGACTAGGGTGGAACCCAAGCGGCCGCTCCGCCCATGGACCTGGTGGGCTGGCCTGTGTGTGAGTGGAACGGGTGGCGGCCCTGTCTCACACCGGTGCAGGTGCACGTGAAGGCCCGCTGGCTCGCCGTGGGAGCTGACCACAGGTGGCCCACAGAACAGGAAGGACGAATGAACCAGGACTCCACAACGCGACACCGGTGCCCCCGTGCTGCAGAGAACCTCGCCCACGGGGAGCCCCCCAGGACGCCCACGGCGGCAGGGCTTCCAGTTCTCAGAGCAGCGTGCCCTCGGCCAGAGCCAGAACAGAATCTTCACAAAGAAACAAAATGATCCCCCGGGCTTCTGGAACTCAGCCTGCAGGCGCAGCGGCGGTCCTGAGGCAGGAGCCCAGAGGTCACTCAAGGGTGGCGGTGATGGTGGGAGGGGCCGCGTCCCCGCAGTCCCAGGCCCTAGTCCAGCTTCTTCTGAGCAGGCGTCCTGCCAGCGCCTGAGCCTTCTGGGCTGAAGTCGGCGCAGAAGCCATTGGGGGTGGGCACTGGCGGGGTGTGTGTGCGGCTTTCCGAGGGTGTCTGGTCCGGGTACAAGTACTCCTCAGCGAAGTCGGGGTATGTCTCTGCAAACCGGGCAAAGTCAGCTGGAAAGACAAGGGCAGCGGCTAGTGAGCTTGGAGCCAACGCCCAGGCCCCATCCTTGCTAGGCCCTGGGGCGTCCCCTCGCACCCCAGGGGCTTGGGCCGTGTGAGAAGTCGGAGCTCTGGTGGTGAGGACAGTGCGCCTGGGTAGAAGTTGCCCCTAAAGTGGGTGCTCCATGTTGCGGCCAGCCCTGCTTGGGGAACTCAGCTGTGATTGGAGTTCCATGACGCCCTGGGCCGGGTGCTCGGAGACGCTGTCAGTGGGAGGAGCTGGTAGGGGACGCGTGTCGAGACAGTCATGGGACCCAGAGAGGCAGGTGCCCGTGATTACATGCGTGGGCACTGGGGCAGGTGGGCAGCCATCCTCACAGAGCCTGCGAGCCATCCGGCCCTCGGTGCCTGACGCTGGAGAGCACCCTGGCTCCTACGCAGCCTGCCAGGAGGCTCGGGGTGGACGAGGGGCCTGTGGGGCCAGGCGGGTGCATGGCACCCGTGAGAAGCCCAGAGCTGATTTTGCTGGAAAAGTCTGCAGCAGACACTCACACAGACACACACAACAGAACCCAGACACACCCGGGAGCAGGCCTGCCTCCAGTTCAGACACACACATGCACGCACACACATATGCACAAAGCACACATGCATACTCCCCATACCCACACACATGCACACTCAAGCACACACATATTTGCAAGCACACACATTCACAGACGAACACACACATGCAAGCACACAAATGTATGCACACCATGCACACACACATACACACACACTCTCACACACCAAGTATTGGACATTTGAATGCAGTTTTCAAAACAAGATATGGGACAATGACTGCTTCAGAGACTTCCTTGGTCTTTCCGAGCAAAGGTTCACCATCTGTTTGTTTTGGTGATGATACACCTTGGCTTGGGAGGGGTTGGGGCTGCCTGCCCGAGGGTCTCTCCTCACACCTGGCCTGGCACCTCATGACACGGGAGGTTGTTCCCGAGGTCCCAACCCTGCCCCCCGGGACACCTCCCAGGCCCCACATGGCAGATGTGTGCACAGCTATGTGTGTTCTTGTCCACTCTGAGGCCACACTTCAAGCCCGGACTGCCGTTCCCATCCCAGGAGACAAGAAGTGGCCCTGTAGAGGGCCTTAGGCAGGCCAGAGGCTGAGGCCCACGGCCGGGTTCCTGGCTTTGCACAGCAGTGGAAACATGGCCAGCCACCTCTAGATCACACCCCCAGTCACCTGGCCTGACACAAGGGGGCTTGGGGGCATCACCCTGAGTGGCACCTCTAGGGAGCTTCTCCCTGTGGTTTCTTCCCACAAACCCCTCCCGGGCAGGGACGAAGGGCTGGCACCAAGGCCACAGCCTCCTGGGGAGACAAGATCCCACAGTGAGAGGCCTCACGGCATCCATGGCCTGTGCCTTCCCCTCCAGGGAATGGACCCCAGCCCAGGCTTGCTGCAAGCCCCAGCCAGCCCCCTGCAGGCTCTGAGCTCCAGGCCTGCGCTCGGGGAGCTTAGTTCTCTAAAGCGCCTGAAGAAATCAGATCTGAAAGATCCTGCCCTCCCCGAAGGCTTCCAGGAGAACCTTCCCCCAGAGGAATTTTGGCTTGGCAAGAGACAATGGGCAGCCTGGAGGGTGGTGGTGCACGACGGACTGTACCCCTGCCCCCAGGCTCCTGGGGTCGCCACCCAAACACCAGGATCAGCAGCCCTGGCCATAACTCCCCCTCCCCGTGGTGACCCCTAGGGCCCGTGTAAGACCCGCCAGCTCACCAAATGTGATCCGGCCCTTGTCCTCTCCGTCAATGGCTCGAAACAGGTCAGTCACAGTGAGCTCCGCCACACCCAGGGCGGTCTTGAGGATGTGGGACAAGTCGCCCTCACCGATGCTGCCGTCCACCTGTGACCCGAACATCTGCAGGGCAGAGCAACGTCACTGGAGCCCCGCCCTCCAAGGTCTCCCGGCCCTGTCTAGGTGGCTCAGGTCCGGGGGCCAATCTGGGGCTCCAGCAGCCCTGACACCTCTTCAGAGCTGTGGCACCCTGGTGGTCTGGGCACAACCCAGGGCTGTGGGGCTCAGAGAAGCCGCCCGGGGACATGCAGCAAATGTGCCCTGGCCCAAGGACTCAGATATGGCTCCTGCCGGTGAGGATCGAGGGGGTGCACGAACCCTGGCACCCTCCCCGCGTGCCTCGTCCAGAGGGCACCTGCCCGTCTCCTCTCCTCCACACCGGATCCTGATGGCACCTGCCCACCTGGCACCTCCAGCATCTTCCTCCTGGTCCAAGTTTCTCCCTCTTGGGCCAAATCCCATGCCTGCAGACTCAGCCCATCCTGCCACGGGGGCCTCCTAGCTCAGCTGCACCAGCCTGTTCCCCGCCAGCCTCCCTCACGCCAGCCTCACTCTGCGCCCAGCGTGGCTCCAAGCGGCGAGCGCCTCCTGCCCTCTGGTGGCCACGGGGTGAATGGCAGCGGCCTCAGGGCCGACAGGGCGTGCTTGGAGCTTGGTCAAGAGGCTGCCGAGATGCGGCTGCACGTCTGAGGACCATGCAGAGGCTGGGAGGCAGAGCGAGGCTGAGTGAGGCTGTGGGGTGTACACGGACCTTGGTCCTGAGCTGTCAGGATTCTCACTGTGGCCACTTAAGGTTTTCTCAGCAATGAGAGTAAGTATGAAAGCCCAGACAGGGTCCAGCAGCGTAGGCTGCAAGGCTGTGAGTGAGACTCTGAAAGTCAGGTGGCTGCACGGGCCACTGGGTGCCAGAGTGCCTGGGACACGACCTGCTCGCCTCCACAACCAGCCGGGGGCTTCGTGTACATGGGGTGAGTACACGCCTCTCCACGAGCCACACGTCCTGCACAGCTGGATCCGTGGGCCGCTACTAGCAAATCGTCTGCACCAGGCCAGGGGAAGGATCCAAGGGCAGCAGACAAGAATGATGATGCGGGAGGGCACAGGCCACGGTGGGGATGGGAGGCCGCCTGCGGGAGGTGGGTTGTCTAGCGACCCAAGAGGGCTCCCACAGCCAGGATGACGTGGCCGTCCCACCACAGAGCTGCTGCAGTGGCTGGAGCAGGGGGACCCGGCATCACTGTGGGGACGCAGCCACACCCACTGACACCCCACATGGGCGCCTGCTCACTGGGTAGCCTTGGGAGGCCACGGCCCACCACCCCCGGTGGCCCCTCCAGGGCAGCGTGTGCCTTACCACAGCGCAGTTCACTGTGAGGGAAGACCCCATGAGACTGTCCTTCCCGCCCGCGGGGACCAGGTGGGTGAGGTCCTTAACCTGCCATGGCCAGACAACCTCCCCCACAGATGTTTGTTTGTGCTGAGAGACAAGCCAGGCACCACCACCATCACGTGACAACAGGGTCCACTCAGTGGTGCCCCCAGGGTCAGCAGGGGCTATGAGTCCACGGGGACCCTTCCAGGTCAGGCCAGGGGCCTTCGGGGTCAGCAGGGACCATGAGTCCAGAGGACTCCCAGGTCAGGCCAGGGGCCTCAGGTCAGTAGGGGCCATCAGTTCACTGGGACTCTCAGGCCAGACCAGGGGCCCTCAGGGTCAGCAGAGGTCATGAGTTCATGGGGACCCCCCAGGTCAGGCCAGGAGCCCTCAGGGTCATCAAGAGGCTGTGAGTCTATGGGGAACCCCCAGATCAGGTGAGAGCCCTCAGGGTCAGCGGGGGCCATGAGTCCAAGGGACCCCGGGCCAGGCCTGGGCCCTCAGGGTCAGCAAGGGCTGTGAGTCCACGGGGACCCCCAGGTCAGGCAGAGGCCCTCACAGGAGGCCTGCCCAGGCCTGCAAGTGGGTCAGGCTTCCTTAGATAGGGACTGCCACATGTTGCTGGCACCCAGCGAATTCCTCCAGTGCGACCCCCATGAGTTTGGTTGAGAGGCTGCCAGATGCTGCGTGTGGGACCTTCCCCAGCATGGCGGGGGTCAGGAGCAAGGAGGGAGTTCTTTTTTTTTTTTTTGAGTTGGAATCTCACTCTGTCGCCCAGACTGGAGTGCAGTGGCTGCTCCCGGCCACTGCAGCCTCAACCTGCTGGGTTCCAGCGATCCTTCCGCCTCAGCCTTCCGAGTAGCCGGAATTACAGGCATGCACTATCATGCCCGGCAGATTTTTGATTTATTATAGAGATGAGGTTTCACCAAGTTGCCCAGGAGGGTCTTGAACCCGCGGGCTCAGGCAGTCCACTCACCTCAGCCTCCCAAGGCATGGGATTACAGGCTGAGCCACCGAGCCTGGCTAGGAGGGAGTTCTTAAAGCTGTGTGAGACAGGCAGCTTCCTGGCTCACATATCAGGCCTGCAAGAGTCTGGTTAACGTGAGTTGCACCCAATCGGGGCCCTGATGAAATTGTATCTCTAGCTGGACAAGGCTAGCCCCGTTCTGGGATTTGCAGGTGGGCCAGACCCACCGCCCCCGTGGTTGAGTGGCTCGGCTCTGACGTCTGCAGAGACCACTGCAAGACCACAGCATGGAGGAGTTTTCTAGGGTGGTGGCTCCCAGGGCCTGCCTGTCCATGGGCAGGTGGGGAGAGGCCACGAGGCGTGAAGCTATGTCAGCTACGCTTGGCGTGTGACCCCGCCCATGCCCGGCCCCGGGGTCTCTCAGCCACCCTGTCTCGAGCTGGGTTGCTATTCTGGGAGGAGATCGATCGGGCAAGCCTCAGGCATGTCAGGCCAGCAGCGCATGTGTGAAAACCACAGTTGGGGGTGGCCACCCGGCCTAGACTGGCCACGGAGACGAGTCGCGGGTCCGGTGCCGGGCCTCGCCACCCCCATCCACTCACCGTGAATGCCAGC